TTAAATTCTCCTCTGGTTGAACATCAACCCATCCCTTGATCTCCTCTTTGTCAGCTCTCTCTGTTCTCTGCCTGTAATAAAACTAGTATTAGATGGTGGTGCTGGTGAAAGTGTCCCTGGAGTGTCCCTGAAGGGAACCTGGAAGAGAGATGGAGAGAAACTTTTTACAAGAGTGTGTTTTACATGGGAATGACAGGACAGGAGGGAATGGCTTCCAACTGAGAGAGAGTAGGTTTAATTAGATGATAGGAAGAAATTCTCCACTGTGAGGGTGGTGAGACACTGGAACATGTTACCCAGAAAAATTGTGGCTGCACCATCCCTGGGAGTGTTCAAGGTAGGTTGGATGGAGCTCTGAGCAACCTGGGATCGTGGAAGGTGTCCTTGCCCATGGCAGGGGGTTGGCACTGGATGATCTCTAAGGTCCCTTCCAGCCCAAATCATTCTGTGATTCTGTGATTCTGTGATATGACCACGAAGTCTGGAGGGGCTGAGTTGAGCACTGTGAGCTGGTGGCTGTTGATGGAACAGTCAAACTCAGAAACCTGTTCATGGTTTTGAGCAAAGTGCTCCACTCAGGCTCATTGGCAGTATAACCACATGTTCCTCACCCAGCTGCCTCTGCCAGGGAAACTTCCTGCTCTTTCAAGGTCTTATCAATAGCTGCTGTGTGGAAAGTGAGCCCGGGGGGTGGGAGCAGGGAGCATGACTCACAACTGGCTGTCTCCTGCTGACAGGACAGAGAAAAACACCCTTTCTGCCATACTGTGGCTGGTTTTACAGCATTGCTCTCCTCTCAGCTTCAAGCACATCCCTACTGAGCTGGCTCATCTCAGCCAAAACTTTCTCAGCTTTGCCTGGGTGGGAGCGTGGCTGCAGCTCGCCAGGCTCCAGATCCTGCTGCTCCTCCTGCTCCCCACAGACTGTGCCAGAGGAAGACCTTGGTGCAGCAGACAGGGCTGCTCGTGGCTCTCAAGCAAAGATGTTGGATGGTGCTTGGGAGCTGCTCATGGAATGCTTGCCCTGACTGCTGGTGCTCAGCCAGGCTGGGCTCTGGGGGGACATGCTGGATGTAACTGGGAAGTGTCCTGGTCCTTTAGGTGGAGGGCAGCCAGTCCCAGGAGGTCCAGCACTATGGAACTGCATCAGCTGGGTCTTACCTCTAAGTCTGGAGATAAATCTTCTCACAGGACATGAGCTACTGCAGGCATTTGTCAGAAGTGCTACCTATATATAAAAAAAAAAGATACGATATAGATAGATACAGACTAGATATAGATATAGATTAGATATAGATAAATAGATATGAAAAGACTAGAGGATTCCCTTCACTGCCTCATTCTTTCTGGAATGCTGCTCCTCCAGTAAAACCTACCCAGGTCCTGGGCAAGGAGGGGCAGAGAAGAGCTCTGCAGCAATTCATAGTGGGGCCCTCCATGCCTGTTTCTGGTGTGTGTGTTGCCTCTAATTCATCTTCCACACACATTCCTGCAGAGCAGCACTCCTGTTTTGCTGCCCACAGAAACAGGCTTCTTTGGTAGCTCCTGGAGGGGAAAACTATTTCTGCTATGTGGCCCCTGACATGTCTTCCCACAGCCTGGGTGGATCTGTCTCTCTGCTGTAGCCATGAAGTTGACCTCTCATCACCACTCACCCATTGCTTCAGGCTGGTTGTACATTGCTTTTTAATTTATTGGGCTCTGCTCATGTGACTCAGCCCCTCAAAGACACACCATGCATTAGACCCTGATGATCAGTGACTCTGGCCACAGCAGTGAGGTTTAATGTCCTTTTACTTGTATCTTGTACAGCAGCTTAAGCCATTATATGTCACTAACAGGTTAATATTTAAAGGGATTTTATCCCTGGATCAGCTGTATTTCCAGTGAAATGCATCCTAGCCCAGAAATCGTTTACAGATGGATAAGAAATTCATAACCCTTTTTTATCTCTAACATACTCTGTCCCTGCTGAGTTGATTCTTTAATTCCCAGAGTGGTTAAGTGGGAATCTACCATGAGTTCCTGAGCCTGCCTCAGTTCCTGTACTGCAATGCTCTCTCAGAGAAAATATAAAACTCTGGGTGAGATGGTGGGAAATTTCTTCCCTTTTATCAGTAGCATTATAAACCTGCTGTGGAAAGAATGTAAACTGGTCAAAGGAGTGTGGCACTGAGAGAGACAATGGGTTTGTTGGAGTGGAGGAGGCAGAACCAAGAGTGTCCAGGATGACACAATCTCCCTGTTCCCCCTCTTGGCAGGAGAAAGAGGATTCCTCATCCATAATGGAAACCACACTCATCTTCTCAGCAGCACTTGTGTGTGAGTGGCTGCAAGCCTAGGCTGGGATTCAGAGCAGCAGAAAACATGAATCCCTTCCCAGTTTTCCATATGGCACTGTTGCCTGTTAGCAGTAAGAGGAGATCCCCTGTCAGCTGGGAGCTGGAGGTGTATGCACAGGTCTCCACAAACAGCACCGTACCTGGCAGTGCCAGGGGGAGGTGAGAGCCACGAGCCCCTCAGCCCGTGGGCAGGACGTGGCACTGGGCTGGAAACTACTTTTGAGTGCAAAGATGCTCCTGCTTGTGCCACTGCCCCAAAATAGCTTTGCTTCAGTGGTCCCAGCTCACTCCAGTATAACAGCAGTTTGGCAAAATCACGCCCAGTATTCCCCCTGACTCAGCAGATGTTCTGAATTTGGCATGGAAATGTGTTACTCCCAGTTAAAGAGAATTCATATAATTCATGATTAATGCTGCTATGTGAATAATTACCTCATTCAGCCAGCTTTTCTTCTGGCTTTGCAAGAAAACGTGCATGAAAAATGAGGACAACATCCTTTCTCTGTGTTACTGCATATGTGGAATAACATTTCTTCTAAAAAGGAGAAAGCGATTTTATTTGGGAAAACAAATAATTGACAAGTTTCTGCAGTGCTTGTGTGCCCATGTTCTCTCCAACATTTATCCAGGATCACAATCCCCCCCAAAATCCATTAGAGACCTGGTGCTTGAGGAAAACTCCCCTCACGGAGAATGCACATCGTTGTATGCATTGAAAAATCTAAAGTTTCAGGTGTAGATTATCTGAGTTGATAACCATGCAGGCAATATCGAATTTCTATAAGCAATTTCTAGACAAAAGCTCCCTTCAGCCAACTCGGTGGTCAGGTTTCCTGTGTGTAAGTGCACGCACATAATGGAACACTGTTTCAAGGTCTTTTTGTGCAACCTATTAACTTATCCATGGAAATTAAAATATCAGTTTTAAAATCTCAAATTTTAAGGGAAAAAAAATTAAATATTTATATTTGCAGCCAGAATTTTGGCACTTGGGATTTCTTGTTCACGAACTTCCATTTTCTGTAGTTACCAGAATATGCAGACAAAATACATTTCCACAAAACCCAATCAAGATGACTTTTCTGGAGCTGGTGAGCACAAGTTAAGGACCAGACCACTGCATTGAGTGACTGGGTGCTAGTCAGGTGTAAACCATTAGATTTGCTATTTGAAAGTGCCACATAGGAGGCACAGCAGCCAGGTTGGGCTCCAGATCAGGTATTTACCATTCCAGGAGCCCAACCTTCAGTGTCAATCAGAAAGGCGTGTTAGGAATTCCCAGAAAAGGGTTTGAGATCAAAACTGAAAGTATATTTATGCTGCTGAGTGTCTGGTTCTTCCCTGTCACTTGTGGTCCTGGCTGCACAGTTCAAAGACTTCAAACAAAAAAGCAGCAACTTGCACGAAAGCGGAATAAAAGAGAACTGAGGTCTTGACTCTGGGAAAGACAGGACAGAGGGAGTAACAGATGGAGAAGAAATTGTGAATGCTACGTAGAGGTAATGGGGTAGGGGGCAATTGTTCACTGCTTGCCAAAAAAAAAGAAACTGGGGGGAGTATTTCCCAAAAGAAATTGGGAGTATGTCCTGAAATGATGAGGCAGTGTGACTTCAACAAAGCAAACAGAGATGTTTTTCAGTTGATTAAAGCTGGTACACTCTTTACCTCTGGACTTACATCTTTAATTTGCGAATTTGCTTCACACTCCTCAAATCCTTGTGTTTTTCACGTTGAAGTCGCCTGCCCACGGAGCGATGCTGCCCCTCGGTGCGACCACCCCCAGCGCGACGAACATCCCTCTCTGCCCCCATCGCTCTCTGCTCCCATCCCTCTCTGCTCCCATCCCTCTCTGTCCCCATCCCTCTCTGCCCTCCATTCCCGGACGGCTCCCGCGTTCCCCCCGGGCAGAGCGGCCCCTCCCCGCCGGGCCGGGCGGTGTCTCGGCGGCTCCTTTAACTGCGCCCCGTGATGTCACAGCGGTGGAAGCCTCGGGCGGGCGCGGAGCGGCGGCACCGCGGGGACCCCGCACGGCGGCGGCACCGCCGGGGACCCCCTGAGCGCCGGGGACCCCCCGAGCGGCGGGCCGGGTCTGGCGGGGCACGATGGGGAGCCTCCAGCTGCAGGACTTCGTGGCCGGCTTGGTGGGAGGTGAGCGATGCCGCGGGCTCGGGGTGCGGGCAGAGGGGGGACAGCGAGGGGACGATCCCCCCGTGTCACCCGCGGTCTGTGCCTTCTCCGCCCGGGCTCTCCCGCGGTTTGCTTTGCTTTGCTTTGGCTCGGAAGTGCCGTTTTAATCCCATTTCCACGGGCGGGATACTTAAAATTGAAGTTTCGGAGAGTGTGGTGCTGCGGAGCAGGAGCGACTTCCAGAGCCCCCCGCACACCCCCAGCCCCCGGCGGCTCTCCCGTCCGTGCCCCCACGGCTGGACAGGACACACAAGCACAACACCTCCTTCTCTTGCTCGGATGCCTTTGAGATGTAAAGCTGATGGAGTCCAGGAGAGCATCCACAGAAGGATGTGGAAGTGTCTCTGCTCTGCTTTTGCCTGTCGTCAGGGGCAGGGCACTATGCTGGGCATTACAACTGTGCCTATGGAAATCTCTTCTCCTCTCCTCTGAACCCATCACACCCTGTCCTGTCACAAAAGCTTCTTCAATGTTTTGTGTAATACTTTGTTTCCGTCCCCAGGAATTACCAGTGTGGTTGTGGGCCATCCCCTGGACACAGTCAAGGTAAAACACTTTGAAATGTGCTCTCCTGTCACCACTGACTCTCTCTCTCTCTAGTTGATGCTTCAAAGGACCTTCACTTACCCCAAGGGGGAATTTAGCCAGGGTAGAAATGTTCTCATAGACTTTCCTCCTCTCCAATGCTCATTTTGAATGAGAAACTAGAAGAACTGGCTGATATGGGTGAGTTCTTCTGTGGAGGATTAATGCTGAAAATTAAACCTGGCCTTCCTTAATGTGTGGTTCACTGAACAGTTCTGCCAATGTTTTATTGAACTTCACCACAGACAACTATTCAAAGGGCAATGAGGGAACTGTATTTGTGTTGCTGCAGGCACATTTTTGTGTGTTTTCCTGATGCAGGCAATGCTGGAAGGACAGAGTGCTGAAATTCTTATCCCAGGGCTGTGATACAGTATTTACAATTCCTACAAGACAATTATTCCTCAGAGGGAAGGGTTTAGAGAAGTAGGAAGATATTTGTCTGCATGGTGCAGACAAGCCCCTGCACACAGCAGTGCATCATGACTCAACCACGTCAACCATCCCTACTGATGCAGAGATAGAGAGGAAGATCCTGTTCCTTGCTTGTTTTCTACAGGCATGTCTGGGCAGCTTTCATCACTTCAGCTGCTCTGCCCATGCTCAGCCTAGAGAATAGAAGGCTCCAAAGAGATCTTATTGTGGCCTTCCAGTACTTGAAGGGGGCCTAGAAGAAAGACACTTTTTAGCAGGGCCTGTTGTGATAGGACAAGGGGTAATGCTTTTAAACTGAAAGAGAATGGGTTTAGATTACATATAAGGAAGAAGTTTTATGCAATGAGGGTGGTAAAACACTGGCACAGGTTGCCCAGAAAGGTGAGGGGATGCTCCATCCCTGGAAACATTCAAGGGCAGGTTGGAGAGGGCTCTGAGTAACCTGGTCAGGTTGGTCCCTGCTCACTGTAGGGAGGTTGGACTAGATGGCTTTAAAGGGTCCCTTCCAACCCCAGCTATTCTATGATTCCCTGATTCTGTATGCCCTGATCCAGTTCCAGCCTGGTTGATGGCACAAGGCAGGGCTGCCAGTTGTGGCAAACCCAAACCCCACTGTTCCTGTTTGCACCTTAAAGCCCTTTGGAGGGTGATGGGGGCGAGGCAGGGTCCAGCACAGCCCACACCACATCCCTTCCCCAGCCATCCCAGCCATCCCCTTGCACACAGCTGGCTCTCCTGGGCTCAGCTGGCCAGTCCTCTCCTTCCTGAGCTTCTGAGGTGACACCAGCCCCGGGAGCATCACCGTGCACAGATGGGTGCAGACCCCACCCAGGAGGAGCCACAGGGCTGCTCACACGCCCCAGCCACGGGCAGGGCACAGGCAGGCTCTGCCCAGGGCTGCCAAGGCAATGCCCATCTCAGGCTGGTGGTCAGGGTATCATGGCCAGGTTTGGGGGAGTTTGGCAACCAGGACCTTGCTGGGAAACACTGAGTTTCTGCGTACCAAGAAGGAGCAAGCCCATCCTTCAAGTGTTTATAAAGGCAACTGTCAGGCTGCCCGCCCTGTTGCTGTGCCCTGGGAATACCAAGCAGGCAGACTTGCTATCTTTCCAAATTTAGGGGAAGGAAAGTGGAAAGGAGAGTTTTTACACAGCACCAAGCCAGCAGGATTGCTCAGTAACATCTGTAGCCTTCAGGGGATGTGGGGGGTCCTTCTCCACCTGGGAGAGGAGGCGGGACTAAATATGAGGCTGGGTGGGGTACGTGGTACCCACACCAGAGTTCCCATCAAGCAGGCTTCCTCCTTCAGCCTCCCCCTCCCAGCTTTGCAGCTTCCATCAAACCCCAGGAGCTCTGGTTTTCCCATGGCCTTGCAAAACTCTGAAAGTTCTGCCTCTACTTACTTTTCATCCTCCCCATTGCATTAATTTCCCCAGAACTTTCTTCAGTTTCTGGGTGTCACCCAAGAGTCCTATCAAATCAAAACATAACAAAAAAAGGAGAATTTTCCAGAGGAACATCTGTACTGGTAGCAGCTGACTTTATCAGAGATGCCAGCAGGGATTTTGGCATCAGTTGTTAACAGATTAGCTAAGGAGTTTGTGTGCAAGAAACAGACTGTGAGGACATTCAGTTGTCCTCAGTTACTCAAAAAATATATTAACTTGAACCTCTAAATACCTGGTTACTGTGTAAGAGAAAAAAACCAAGCCCATGGAGGCATAAAGGCAATGTCTGGGCTGAGCATTCGGGTGAAGCGGGGAGGGAGTTCAGGGCTGGGCACTGCAGTCACTCTGTCCTGGGGTGCAGCCCCTCCCCACTGTTCCCCCCAGCCCCCTTAACCCAGTGTGAGTCACAGAGTGCACAGTCTGCACCCCTGGCCCGGGCCTGCCTGTGTTGCACAAGGTGTGCTGTGTGAGCTGTGGCAGCATCTTCATGTACCAGCTTGTTCCTGAGGGCTCAGTAAATATCCTGCTGCCTTTCCCGTGGCCTCTGGCCGTGCAGGAGCAGAGCAGTGATGCTCCACGTGTGCAAACAGCTGCATGGAGCCATGCCAGGGTGAGTGGTGAGCCTGGGGTGAGGGGTCACCCCAGACTTTGGTCCCTCCTGCTCGTGCCAGGGTCCCACTGCGGCCCCATCCAGCCTCTGGCAGGGCTCTGGGCCAAATGATTGTGCCATTCAACCTGCTGTTTGGCATGCAAAAGGTCTCCCCAGGCGTGAACTCTGAAGGACACACACTTCTTTGGGCTTTAAATTCCCAGATAATTTCCTACTTCACCCTGGTGTCAGTCACCACCCTCACTCTGAGCCAGCAGAGGGGACTGGGCACTGTCCCTCCAGATCTCATCTCAGCATTGCAGTTTTGATGGATATGGTCAGAAATGCTGTCCCCATTCCCTAAAAACGTCCCTGACAGAGCATGTGTGTCTTCCTATAAAAAAAATGAGCTCTGGCCTCAACCAAGATGAGTTGCTGAAGCCCCAGGTCCTGTGAAGTGAACGGTGTTTCCATTTCCTTGCACACCTCTAAGGCCAAAAAATGCATCCTTCCTTAGGATGTTTTTGGTGCAAATTTGTGAGCTGCTCGAATGAAAGATGATCTAAATATACATGTGTGTGTGTGTAGATATATAAATATATATATGTATATGAGAAGGAGAAAGTATGTCAAATCCTACAGGCTTTGGCCATTTCTTACAGCTGTTGGAAGGCACACAACCAAACTGCTTTCCAGAAACAAGATGCCTTTGTTGGAAATTATATGAAAATGTATTTTTGAGTGAAGCATGGAGAATTCCCAAGATGATGCTGAATTATTTTGGCTCCATTTAGCATTTCAATGTCTTAAAATCCACCTTGGATCAGAAGGGCCCCAGGGGTCTCCCAGGGGAGCTCACCTCTCCACTCTTCAGCAACTCATCCCAGCCTTCCCTGAGAGCCTCCAAACGGAGGAGACCACACCACTCTCCATTTTCCACATAAATCAGGCCCTTGGCAGTGACAGCCCTGCACACCAGCAGCCTGCTGTGCTGGGACAGGGTGGCTGATCCAGGCTGGAGAGCAATTTGACAGTCATCGATTCCAGATGTTGCCGAGAGCTTCAGACCTGGGAGATCCCTCTTAGCCCGGATTCTGGCAAAGTTCAAGGGGGTTAATGCACATATATCTTATTTTATTGCTCTTTTCTCTTTATGACTAAGGAAGGACATGCTCTCAAAGCAAAGTGCACATTGTTTACAGAGCATGAGCTGTTGTTGGGCTGGAAATGGGGGATTTTAATGGCCTTTTATGAATGTCTTTTGCAGACTCGTTTGCAAGCTGGACAAGGATATGGAAATACACTCAAGTGTTTTCTCACTGTGTACAGAAATGAGTCTGTAAGTGCTTTATCTTACTTTAAATGTGCTGGTAGAAAGTGCAAGTCAATAAATAGATAAAAACATAAAGCAATTACACAAAATCGCTGATGGCACCAGCAGTTATATGAAGACCAATAAAGTTGGTGTCATTGAGCTGCAAATCCCTGCAGCCTTCTCCTGCTTACCCCTAAGGTAACCCTCTTGGTTACCCCTACAGGGAAAAGACAGATCCTTGGCATGGCATGATCAGGGTCTCGACATGGCTTTAACATCCACAGTGGCTCTTTTGCCTGATCCTGCTGGAAAAGGTCTCCCAAAGGGATCCTGCTGGAAGAGGTCTCCCAGAGGGATTCTGATGACAAAGGTCTCCCAGAGGGATTCTGCTGACTCTGGTGAAGCCAGGACAGAAGCTGCCCATGAGAGGGATTTTTACATGGATTCCTGTGCTTTCACCATGTCCTGTATTCTGCACAATCTTTATAAGTCTTTAGCAGCATGAACTAATTTCCTTTGGTCAGCATGTGCAAACAGTTGGTTCCAGGAGACATCTGCTGCTTGGATGTGCATTTCAGTCCCGTCTATGGCAGGGGTTGAAACAAGATGACCTTCAAGGTCCCTTCCAACCCAAGCCATTCCAGGATCCCACTATTCCCAGCCCGACAGACGAGATGGGGGCTTACACTGCTCAGTGCCGTTCACTCCCCTAACCCCTGCTCCCTTCCCTGGCTAGGTGACTGGCTTCTTCAAGGGCATGTCCTTCCCCATGGCCACCACAGGCCTGTACAGCTCGGTGGTGTTCGGGGTGTTCAGCAGCACGCAGCGGTTCCTGGGCCAGCTCCGCCACGGGGACGCGGCCGCCGCGCCCTCGCTCGCCGACATGACCGTGGCCAGCTCGGTGGCAGGGTTTGTCTCCGTGGCCATTGGCACTCCCGTGGACCTGGTAAAGATCAGGCTACAGATGCAAACACAGCCCTACAGCAAAGGTAGGAAGCAGGAGTTTCTCCTTCCTTCCTCTGCCAGTCCTCGGTGCTTTAGGACAGCTTTGCTCCAGGGCCCAGCTCCCTGCTGACCTGTGCTGGCGCAATGGGGCTAAAAATTCCCCCTTTTGTCTCTCCATCCTGTTCAGCTCAAGGGGAGAATTTTTGTCCATGGCATTTCCAGGCAGTTGGGATCTCTGAGGAACATGGGACAGGTGTGCTCAGGGCCAGGAGCTGCAGGAACTGCGAGTCCCTGGGCTGTGGGGTCCCCTGGAGATGCCAGCAGCAGCACCACAGCTGCCAGCAGCAATGTCAGCTCCCCATCTCTGCATGCTCTCAGTCCCACATTTGTCTGCCCATAAACCCCTCTCTGGTACTCCACCTCCTCTGTTCAACAGCAAAATTCTCCCATGTGCATTTGCAGACCACTGACTTATTTGGGGCAGGGTGCCAGGCAGCCCAGGCATGGGCAGGATGGGTCAAGAGAGGGCACTGGCAGGATGGCGGGGGTGGCTCTACCCTGTCTACCAGCTGCAGGCAGAAGGAGCTGCTTCTGTTCTAGACAGCAGCTGAATTCCATTGCAGGCTGGAATGTCCATTTTTAAAACCTCCATGCAGCTTAGAAACCTAGTGCCTTTTACAAAAGCAACTTGGTCTGCATGGGAAGGGCCAGACTCTGAAGACATCAAGGCTTTCAGTGATGCCACTTGGCACCAGATGTGGTTAAAATCCATGAAAATCAGGCACATAGCCTTAAAATAATTTAGAAATCTCACTGGGCACACACCTATTGGGAGGTATGCCACACATCTAAGAAAAATCTGACCTGAAGTGTCTAAACACCTTTTGAAAATGGACTTAAGTACTCTTTCCTAAAACTTTTTTCCCATGCTACATATTGATCTCAGGAGAAAAAAATGGGATGGCAGCAAGTTCTAACCAATGGCAGTGGGCTTTGGGGATGAGTTCTGTGGCAATGTATCTGTTCTAACTGTTGTGTCTTTTTTTTCTTTGCAGCAGACGTTAAACTAAAGCCCACAGCTCCTGGATCTCCTGTGTACCGAGGCCCAATCCACTGCTTTTGGACAATCCTACAGAAAGAGGGGATAGCAGGAATCTACCGAGGCACAGTGGCAATGCTCCTGAGGGATGTTCCTGGGTACTGCGTCTACTTCATCCCTTATGCAGTTTTCTGTGACTGGGCAACTCCTGAGGGATGCATTTCTCCCAGTCCCTTCTCTGTCTGGCTGGCAGGGGGTGTAGCAGGTAAGCACCTTGACTTCCTCACAGCACTGGCACAGCAAGGAAGGTTCTTGGAGTGATTCCGAGAGTGACTCAAGGGCCACCACATCCTCCTGAACGCCAGGAGGGGACGTGGGACTGAATGACCTTCCTCCCCAGGGCCAGGTCCTCTGGCACCACAGCTGCACTTCAGGGCTTGGCAAATTTTATGGAAGTGTTATCAGACCTTCATCGGGCTCAGTGTCAGTGAGGAGGAAAAAAACCGGTGCCCTCATCTCCCTGGATGCCTCAGGGCAGCCTGGCTGTAACACTGCCAGGGCAGTGCCTCAGGGCAGCCAGGATGCCACCAGAAGAGGACTTCAACCTGTTGGCTGCCCACCAGGAGGGTGTGCACCTCCCCACACGTAGCAGAAGCCAAGTTGACTCTTACTGATCTTCTTCCCCTTTTTAACGTGTGTACACCTGCCAGTAAGACTGGCTTGTCTGTCCCCTGCCACGCAGGAGGTCACTCCCACTCCCACCCCCCATTTCTTGGCCCTTTCTAAATTGCAGAACCACAAAGGCAAGTCAATCCTTAGCTCAGGTAATGGTAACAAAATGCCTTCTCCATTTCTCCTCAAACAAAGAGGCCCCTGGCCCATCTGGACAGCGTTTCTAGAGTGCCCCAGAACTCATGTAAGTCCAAACAAACTCCTGTCTGTCCAAGTGAGCCACAGATTGTGGTCATGTGCTGATCTTTCCAGAGGCAAACCACCCCACTCAGCAGCAGTCTAATCAATGCACACAGATGTTTCTTTAGAGCACTGACAAGGTATCTGAGCTGTGTGGAGCCCAGTCCTGGCAGCCCCAGTTGGACCTGCCTCTTATTGGCATTCTCAGCTCAAACTTTGCTTTACAATTATCAGAATTATCAGAAGACTCTGTTTTTTCTGAATTTGTCCCAAGTGGCAGCTCAGGCTCTTCCCACTGCGTGTCCATGTTCCACCAGAGGCACAGCAGAAGATGTGTTTTCACCTGGGGGAGCCCCTCCTGGGCTGCCTGTATCTGACTGGCAGCATAACCTCCAAAATTTCAGTGCATCTTCCAGAAAGAGGGAACTTTGCTCCCAGAAATGCTATTTCTGTGCCTGAGCAGGGTGAATGCCCTGAAATGAAAATTGCATGAATATGATGTTGTAGATGAGAGGTGAATTTTTGAGTTCACTGACCTGCAGCCCAGCAAATATAAAGAGGGAATGATTCAAATACTTCTGCATTTTTCTAGGAGCCATTTCCTGGGGATTATGCACTCCAATGGATGTTGTGAAAAGTCGACTTCAGGCAGATGGAGTTTATTTAAATCAGTACAAAGGGACCCTTGACTGCATCTTGCAGAGCTACCAGAACGAGGGCTTAAAAGTAAGTGATATTTGAAGTAAAATCTGGTTATTAGGCATTTAATTGTCAATTGGAAAATACAATGGCTCTTACAAACCTATCTGCAGGGTTGAGAGACAGCTAAAGCCAGTTACTGCTAAATTATTATAATGGCAGGAGGTAATTACAGTGCAGGTCCTTTCTAAATCAAAATAGTGAGTAATGAGTGCAATAGTGTGCCTTACACAATGAAGAAATGAATGACTGGGGGTCACACACCGCTGGTGTAATGAACCTCAAATAACACTTCATGTCAGCTCACTTAATCACGAATATGATTTGACTTATGAGAAATCAGAGGTAGGAAATCTTACCTCAGTGTTTGCTTCTGCAAAATGCAGAGGTCAAATGTGCCCCAATGACTTCGGTGCCAATGAACTGACTCTGGTGGGACTGTGCTGGCACTCTGGGGTGTGTGCTCACCTTGGGCAATGCTCTGGTGGAACTTTGGCTTTGCACTGCTCACTCTCATTTTGCACCAAGACAGAGCTGATTGAAAACGTTCTTAAACCAGAATTGCTTTGGTTTTAAGGAGGAAGAAGGGCTGCATGCCAAAAAACTTATCTCCTTTTTCTGACTTTGTCTATTGGTGTAATAAAAGATATCTGTTCTACCAGCAAACTTTGCTTCAGTTAAACATGAATGGCAGAGAACAAGGATTTGCAAATTTATTGTGTTGCTGAGAGAAACATCTGACATTGAAATAAATCTGTATTTATCATCGGAACATCATGTGGGCTCTTAGCTCCAAAGTGTTGATTTTCACGTTCTGAGAGAAGCTCAACAAGTTACAAACAGAAAAACAACCTGCAAAATCACAAGTCAGTGTGATTTCAATATTTGCCAACATGCCTCTGTGTTATGCCAGCTGTCACAGGAGCCTGTGGTCTGGTTCAGTTTTTGCCACTGGGTGAAGAAAGTCACACTGATGTGAAGCACAAGCACCTGGAGAGATGCTGAGGACTGTCCATGGAGGGACAGGGTGCCCAGGCTCTTCATTCCATTTGGTGTGCACTTACACTGTAAACACAGGGTGGCTGAAAAGGGCCTTTCCATGTGTTCTCCCTTCTCTCTCCATCCTCATCACCTCCTTGTCCTGCCTGAATATTAACAGCCATGGTGCTTGGGGGTTTTGGCTGGAGGTCTGAGCTGCTTGCAGATTTTGTGCTGTCACACCTGGCACCCACATCAAAGCCAACAACAGGATTGAGCAATAGCTGATGGCAAGACTGGATCCTGCTCTCGTGAGGAAAATCTTTTGAAATGTTGGGAGCCACACAGCTGACAAACAGCCAGCTCAGAGCTGGATGTTTTCATTCTGGGACAAAGGAACACCACTCACAGTGCTCCAAATAATTGCCTGATGCACACAAAGAAATGTAAAAATAACACTTGTCTTTTTCCACAGCCAAGTGTGTTCATTCTGAGGAGAGAAATTTATGCCTCTGGCTTTTCATCCTAAATCTTCATTATTATTTAACTTGGTTCTCTTTTGTTACTTTATGGGTCATTCCAAAAAATTGAATTTCCTCCCAGAAAATTCGCTTTCCTAGCAAAATAAAACATCCCAACAAATCGAATAATATCCTACATATCCCAGTGCTGCAATTTCACATTGCAAGGTCCATCCTAAACTATGTGAACACATTTTGATCCTGCCTCAAACAAGTCAGCACTGTACTCTGGACTTATTGGATACAAGATATGATGGTGTTTAGTAGAGCTCAGTAATTTCAGGGGAAAGACTGGTTAGACTCTTAAATCCATGGGCTTCTGGGTTTGGAGCCAAGATCTTCCACAGTTCCTTACAGTAGCTGTGGGAACTTTGCTGTTGTAAAGCCTGGAAAGGGGCTGTATTGCTGATGTTCCTTTTCATGTCCATTCTGAACTTGTGATGTTTAGATCAGTGACCAGGGTGATGAGCCTGGGTGGTGATTGGAGTGATTTGTGAGAAACAGGCCAGCAGAGATACTCCCTGCAACCATCATTCTGTGACCAGGCTCACCCCAAAGTGGGCTGTGCACACACCAGGGAATGGTGTTTGTGGTGAGGGGGGTTCAAAGGGAGATGAGTCAAGGCCAGGAGCCAGGAGTGACAAGACCCCTCTCCACTTTCCAAAGGCACTTTACTGTTCAAGATCTTAAAAGCTGCAAGGTCTTTCTCTCTTGTACACGCCAGCACCTTTTAAAAAGTCATATATTTAGCAGAATGAGGAAATCTGGCTGATGGTATTTATTATCTTGATGAGAGAAAGCACTGGGCTGTGTATGGCTACCAAAGGTTGACCTTAGGAACACTCCTGTGAAAATATCAGCTTCTACTGAACGTTCTTCCCAAAGGTGGTGGTGAGAGCTGGTTCTCAGCAAGGTACAGAGTGATTCTAGTTTTCTGCTGATTGAGAAATTCCTTCTATGCTCAAAGGTGAAACCTGAAAACCAGTCCCCATGGCTCAATGCCCACACCAGCAGGGCTGGCCCACAGCCACACTGCTTCCTCTGCACCTGCCAGATACCTTCTGTGCCCACAGACCCAGCCCCGGGGGGCAGAGAATTCCCTGCAGGAAAACAACAGCCTTCTTGAACCCCGGGCTTTGCATGACCCCCACATGCAAAGGGAAGGAAGGCCAGGCTGGACAAGGCTTGGAGCAACGTGGTCTAGTGGAAGGTGTCCCTGTCCATGGCAGGGGGTAGGAACAAGATAAGCTTTAAGGTAGGTCCCTTCCAACCCAAACCAGTCTATGATTCTATCATTCTGTGACTGTACCAAGGTGGGACAACACTGGAAGATGTTTTAGACTTCTTGCTTTCTGTTCTACACCAGTGGCATTTTTCACCCTTCAGCACTTGTAGATCTTGCTTGTATGTACAGATGGGGGTCCGTGGGGAGCACAGAGAACAATGACACCAAACCAGGGACTTTTGCCATTGCATTTCCACTCTCCAGTGCAGACTTCAGCCAGGACCAGCAGTGAGAGCGCATCTTCCAAGCAAACCAAGATGTGGTGCTTCAGAATCCCACCGTGACTTCATTCAATGTTTTCTTCCCCTTCTTAAAATAGCCAGTTTGTTCCTATGCTCTAACCTTTCTCCATCCCCAACAGGTGTTTTTTAGGGGCCTCACGGTCAATACAGTGCGAGGATTCCCATCGAGTGCAGCCATGTTTCTTGGCTATGAACTTTCCCTCAAAGCAATGAAAAGAGGCCAAACTGAGACCAATCCCTAACTTCCAGGTCAGCACATAAAGACCCTCTAGCTTTGTTAAAACCACAGAATTAATCTTTGAATCAAACAGAGTTGCAATTGCATTGATCCTCTGACAGTCAGATGACACGTGGGTACCCACACCTGAATAGCCACTTCTCTAACTTGGGTCTGTGGGATTCAGGGCAGACAACAGATGTGCTGATGGATTTTAGTTTCAGTCCAGTTCCCCTGGAACTTCACTGCAATATGTTCTGATTTTTGTGATTGTTTTGATTAATGTCAATCAGAAATGAAAATCTGAAGGGAGATTTTTCTCTAACACTTTATATGTTTTGAAATATTCTCACCACGGTCCCTGAACAGTGTTCTTCCCTCCCTTGTTCCATCCACAAAGACCTGAAATTAAGCCCTTTTAAAGTGTCCTGACTACCAAGTCACTGTGTCACTCTTTCCCTCATTAACCTAGGGTTGCACAAAGGAGCAGCATTAAAAATATCTGATTAAAGAAACTTTTTTTAGCAGATTAAAAGAAAACTGATTAAAGAAACTTTTTTTACTCATGATTATTCTTGGCAGTCTTTGCTGTTTTCTGCAGTACTTCATAAATCTCCTTCTTTCTTATTTCAAAAGTGTTGCCAAGAAGAACCAGAAAGCCCCCTGCTTTCCTGAGCCAAATCAGCAGTGTGGTGTTGGTGTGGGCTCAGCTGCTCTGACTGAAGACTCCCATCCTGCACCTACAGCACCTGCTGGGACTGAGTCCGTGCAGGACTCCGAAAATGGCACCAGCTCAGTCAAACCCAAAGACCATTTTCTTATCAAATCTTTCACTCTGTTGACTAAGAACACCTCAATAATTGGTGGGCTTTTTCATCAGTGACATTTTTCCTGTTGAGCCAGGAAAACAACTCACCTCCCTTTCCCAAGGGATGTGTCCAAACCCAGCCCATCTGACATCACCGAGGGAGCATCTTTCGTACAACACTGGAAATAATGCTCATCTTTTGTGTGAACAAGGAGAGGAGGAGGTGTGGTGGGTACACAGGTGCTTTTCCTGTAGGAAGGTCTGGATTCCTATAAAATCCTAGCTTGCTTTCAGGTTTAAAGAACTAGATGATTCCTCCTGTACAAACACACACTCGTGTTTTCCGTCACAGTTTGCCACAATGCAACACATTATTATGAAAAAACGTGAAGGGCTTTAACAACTTCAGTCTGTTATCCAAGGTTATATATTAAATTGGAAAACAGGAGGATGTTACATTCAGAGAACTAAGCTCCTTTTTTTATTCAGGAAACAATAAATCAAGTCTGCATTTCATATAGAAGTCTGGCTATTGATTTACACAGCTTGCCTGGTGCAGGCCTCCAGGGACCTGCTGGAGTTATCTCAAAAGACCTTCTGAGCTCCCTGACACGATGATCCAGCTTGGCAATCGCCAAATCCTGCAGACATCACTTGCCAGCCTTGAAGAGACCATCACCAAAGGAAGTCTCTTTAATACACAGAACACCTTCGGACCTCCAGCTCTTCACTGCACTCCCACTGAGAGCACTGGGGCAGACCCAGGTCTCTCTTTGGTCTACCTCAGCCTTTCAATCATTCCAAGATCTTTTACATCTTGATTATTTCTGTTTGTGCTGTTGAATATCTCCGTGATTTATTTCCTAACCATGGAGTTTTTGATGCCAAAACCCTCTTCTTTGCTGGGAGAAGAGGGCTCTGGTGGCACTGGCAGGAGAGGCCGAGGGGTAGCTGGCTCACATGCAGAGGGAGACATGGCATGGGGGAACAATCAAGGGCAGCACTGTCCTTCAGGAAATGTTCTAGAAGGACAGCTCTTCCTCTGGAGAAGGACTCTGGGGGAAAAGCCCAATGATTGCAGTTTTAGCTGATGCCTTCAATAAGGGTTTCTGAAGACAATGTGGAGCAGCCCTCCAGCTTTCCTCCATGAAAGGAGGAGAAGGAAAGAGAAACTCCCACGTCCTCTTCCCTGGATGAATGGAGGAATTGGTGACCAGACTTGAAGGTTTCAGCAAAAAGTGCCTTAAACTTTGGGTCTGGAGCAGCACTCAGAAATGGAGTCACCTACTTTGGGCTTCTCATCACTGGGGCCCAAATTAAAAACAGAGTGTTGGTGCCCCCAGAACTGGCCTTAAAAAGTGGAAGAACCAGCAACAGCTGGTGTTGCTTCATCTCAGGGCTCGCAGGCAAGGAGGTTCACAGTGCCTTTGACCTTGGTGAGAACACAGGGAACTGTTTTTGATAAACAATATGGATAAAATTGATGAGCCTTCACACAAGTATTTGTTGCTGGCTGCACTTAAGGATTCATCCTTTCCATGTTGTCTATTTTTATGTGTGCATGTAAAACATGTTTTTTAGATGGATAATATCATGTGTCTCCAGGGATAATACTTGGGGAGACTGTTTTTTCAATGCAAATAAATGGTGTTTTTTATGTGCCTGCATTATGTAAAAATGGCCCATGAATTAATTAAACTGATCAGGTTCACAACGAGCTGTGTATCTGCATGATCCTGCCCTGGTGGTGCCCACGTTCAGTCTGTTCAGTGCCCCCTGGGCATAAAGCCCTGAGACCCACGTTGGAGTTGCATGGTGATCTTTCCTGTTATTATTCATCCAATTAAACCAGTTTTGAGATGGGTGCCCAGGATTTACTTGGACAAAGCTCTTGTGTAACACACACCTGCCAGAAGGAGCTGTCAGGGAGAGCTGTGGGGAACCTGGTGTGGAAAGGGAGCAGAGGGCAGAAAGCTATTTGATATATTATAAATATATGATATAGATATAGTATAAAAACCATGAAGAGCAAGTGGGAATTGAATATAAAGCTTTGGCCACTTGATGGCATCCTCATCCCTCATCAGGGCATGGCATGTGCTGCTCACTGGAGCTGCCAGGCCTCCTCTCTGTCTTCCTCTGTTTGACCCCAAGCCCAGGTTTGCTGGCAGACCAGCACACACTCCCTTCCCCATGGGCACACTGGACAGCCTCTGAGTGATTTTGGGGTGACTCTGCCCTGCCAGTGGCTGCCCTGGTCCAGCAGCATGGGAGACAAGCCTTGGACACACTGGTTAATCAGTGCATCACCCCATCCCTGTTTATAGAGTGAGGCAAAGCAACACCAGGCTAGAGCACGAGGTTCCAAGGGGGTGGCAGCCCTGGCCACTGTGCAGGAGGTTGAGCTCTGGGCCTCTGGGCCACTGTTGGTGACCAAGGACACCTTAGGGTTGGGCCAAGCAGCTTTTGGGGCACAGCACTTTGTGGCACTCATCGCTGTGACCGATCCCATCCCTGGAAATGTCCAAGGCCAGGTTGGACAGGCCCTGCTCTAGTGGGAGGTGTCCCTGCCATGGCAGGGGGGCTGGAAGGAGGGAAGCTTTAAGGTCCCTTCCAACCCAAACCATTCCATGGTTCTATGATCCCTGCACATGGAGCCCCACAGATAGTTTGGTCTTGCTTTTGCAGTAGGGAGTGTATGGCTGTGTCACCAGTGAAAGAGGTGGCAGGGTGGGGTGACACCACAGGGGACATCACAGCCCAATGTCCCAAAGATGAGGGATGGCCATCACAATTTATGCACACAGAGACTTGACAGGTCTGTGTCTTGTGAATGATCTTCTCCATGATTCATGCAAATGCATTAGTTTTTAGAGCTTATATCAGTATCCATGGGTAGAAATTAGGATCTCTAAGGAGTTCTTGGGGGACCTGGTGCTGTGAGTTTAAAGCAGGCAGGCAGGCAGACATACACACAGCTGATTCAATGGGGCACTGAGTGCATATGTTGGTGATTTTGTCCCTGAGCTACACAAAAGAAAAATCCCCCGTGTCAGGACATGGATCAGCTCCTCTGCCAGTGCTGTGTCCATAGTGACCTGCCATCAGTGACACATTCCACTCACATGCTGGAGTGGATGGAGCCACCTGCTTGACAGCTTATTCAAGGTCCTTACAGAGCCACTCATTTCTAAGATAAAAGCAGTAAATCCTGAAATTGTCAAAAAAAACTGAGAAGGGAGACCAGAAGGCCCAGGGATACCCACTTCTGGTTTTGTTGCCTGGATTATGAAAGCATACTCAGACCTGTCATCCCTCTAATATGTCTGTAATTGCCCAACTTTCATGTCTCTGGTGGCATTCCAGCTCTTACAACAGCTCTTATTTAATGAGATGCTGGTTGTGTAGCTGTTTTTAACAGTTTATACACTATTTAGTGCTATGGAAGGAAAAAAAGGTAACAGCAGCTGATTTCCCATTTGAAATAAACTGACCAACCAGGAACCAAGTGAAAAGCCATTTTTCTAGAAAACAGCCCTGACCTGGAGGAAGGTCTCTGGGGCTGGGAGAAGCTTCATGATGCCCAGGGGGCATGGGGTGGGAGAAGGCTGGGGCTACCCAGCAGTTTTAGCCCTGACTGAAGCCCTGCCTGTAAAGGTCTTTTCCAACCTAAATGATTTTCGGATGGCTCTGAGCCAGGCTGAGATTTCCTCATGCCTTGGGAGTCCCTGCCTGGTGTGTCCCCACCACAGGGGAAGGCAAGATCACAGTCCCTATCTCAGTTTCTCTTTTTCTGTTGTACTCTGAGACAGAGGAGTAGTGTGACATCTTCACAGGCATTAAGATATGTCTCCTTGGTTTGATCTGAAGTTCTTGCTTTGTCATAGAGGCTGTTGTAGTAGAGATTCCTCTCCTACACATGGCAGTCATGTCAGCCAAGAAGGCCAAAGCCTGTCTTGTACCTGTGAAGAAAAAAGGTGAAGTGTGGAGTTGAAAGAAATAGTGAGATCCAAGAAGACAAGTGGGAAGAAGTTCAAGTGCTAAAATGAATGTAAACTGCACAGCAGCTCCCTCCCTCTAAAGACATCTTCTTCCTATATATGGTCCCTTAGTGATGCATAGACTGATCACTGCCAACCCAGAGTATCCTTCCAGACACAGGCTCCAAAAGGAATGAAACCACGCAGAGAGGGGAAATTCAAGTAGTCACACTGATTTTTAAGGCACTTCTTTCAAACTGTAGAACCTGTGCAGCTCCAGAGTCAGACCCTAGTGGAATAATCAGCCTGTTAGGAGCCATATATGCAGCAGAAGGAGAGTGTCTTTCTAAGGAGGTCTCAGAGGTCCCAAATGGAGTTTCACTGTAAAATATAAAATGCTGGTTACGTCAAGAAATCTTTTCTTAGTATGGGTGAAATTCTAAGGCTACAGGGCTGTAGAACACATAAACTCTGAAAAGAATATGAAAGTCCTCTTGAATGATGGAGAAAGCAATGGATCCCAAGAGCAAACATTTGGAGAAACCAGAACCTTGCCAGCATGGAAGGACACGCTGAGACTGCCCTGCCACCGGCACCTGTGTGGCCTCACCTGCTGCAAAAGCACTTGTGGAGCTCATCTCCCGTGTTTCAAAACATTTTAGCACTAATGTAGCCTGCTTCACACACAGAACAGAAAATGCTGCCAATTCTCATGGAAAAGGGCCAGCCTGTTCTTACTCATACAGCTAGGTGGGAACTGGCCTCATTATCGAGTGACGACTGCCTGTTCCTCGCGAGCGCTCCGCAGGTGGATTGTCAGTGCTCCCAGCAGGAAAAGCGAGCTGTGGAGCAGGGCTGGCTGCTGAGGAGCTCTAGCCCAGCCACAGAGTGAATGCCTGGTGCTGTCTGTGTGTCCTGAGTGTTCAGCCTCTCTCTACGAGCCGTGCTGAGTGGGAAATCCAGCCCGCGGGGTCATCGCGCAGCGGGACAAGCAAGGAAGGGTGAGTGGACTTGTGATGTGAGAGAGCTCAGTGTTTCTCTTTCCTGATGAAAGCAGTCAGGACACAAAAGAAGACACTGGAGCGAGAGCAATGGCATCAGGAGAAAACTTAAAATACAAGAGAGCAGGTGACTTTGTGGTCAGTTCCTGCCTTCTTCTGTCTCCTTCTGGAGATGGTTGGTTGTGGGAAGCACTTGCACTGTGCATGACACCCAGAGTGGCTGGAATGTTGCTGTCAGGGCTTTTTTGTTGCAGATGCCTCAGCTCTTGCTAAATATCATTGCAACATGGAGAGCTTGGGACAACCCAGGAAAGCTCCAGTGACTGTCCTATTGCATGAAACAAGGAGGACTTGCAGCTCTGAAGGTCTCTCTCGTGTGTGCTCTCCCCTCTCCTGAGCGTCGCTAGTTTTTGTTAGTAAGCTTAAATGGTGTCAAATTAATTAACATTTCTGAAAATAATGAGAGCTCAATTATCTACAGTCCTGAGGACATCCCCTGGTCCATCTGCTAGGGCAGAGCACAGGGTGTGGCTCTCA